GAAGGTGACCCCATCTGCAACTTCAGAGCAAGTACCTTGTCCTAGTCACTGAGAAGAACAAATAGGGATTTGCCAAAGAAAGCTGAATTCAAAACTTGCATCTTCACGGAGGAGAAAAAGAGGTTAATAGTTACTGGAGATATCCTCTACCTGGACATTGGTCCCCAATCTGCTGACCTGCCCTGGTGATGTCTTGTAAAGTCTGGTCCTTGCCATGAGACCAGGATCTCGGTTGCTACCAAAGCTTTTCCAACCCTCAGGCTATTACAGCTCTTCCATCTGGGCATGAACAGTACTGTCAGTGTGAATCCAGAGCATGTCGAAGGTGACTATGGAGCATTGAGTGCAGGGGTAAGGCATAGGGGCCTGTGTGGTGTCCCCTTCTGCTACTGAGACTGAAGAGGCTCAAGCAGAAGTCAATTCATCTTTCAGGACAATGCATGATTTTGTTTCTGAAGGTGCAATAGGAGTATTCACATTCGTAACTGTGGGACATTCTCTGATTATGCACATAGTACTGCAGGTACATAATGGCAAAACTAGTATAACAGTGCAGACATAGCAAAAGCACAATAAAGGATAAAACTTTTATTTCTCTTTTTATTGACTTTGATTCTTCTTAACTAGAAATTTCTTCCACACTGCAACTGTAAACAGTGTTCCAAAGCTGCCTCCAGATCCAAGTCATGTTACAACAGCTGTTCAGTGATGGAAGATTAAAGATATTATGGAAAAAGGTGTGAGAACTGGATAAGACTTTTTGAATTAGGACAATTGCTCAGGAGTCAGCAGCAATAAAGCAAATAAATGTCAGTGCCAGTTATAGCAGCCACCAGAATGCCATAAGTTGTTCGACATCTTCAAGCGACATCATGAAGCAGAGAGCAGGTAAGAATGTAACAGCTTATACAGAACATATTTGAATCTTGTTTTAGGAAAAGAAGTGTTGTTCATGGTCATCTGTGGCTATGCATTTTAACCATGTGTGCAGCATGTTGCTATCCATGATGCTGTAAAAATATAAGGGGTTTACAGAGTAGTATTATACCTCAGGGATTTGTCTTGCAATGAGGAAGACATCTATAAGGGCTGTCTTCAGGAGGACTTGTCTGTTGCAGCAATTTGAGATAAAAATAACAACCAGAGGATTAGCCTTGATACTTCCCCTGAGGCTGGGCTACATTGTAGATGGAAAACCTAAAGATATTCTTGATCTCTGATCTAAAGAAAAGGGTCTGGAATGTGAACCTTGTGAATCAGCAGTGTTTGAGAGAAAGGAAGAGCCTACATGGGATGGAGCAGAGCAGTCTCATACTTGATACCTGTCTCTTGGGGTCAGGATATTTGCCAGAGGAACTGTGCCAGCTTATAACCATGGAAGATGTTTTATTTCATGCGTCTGGCTAGTGGATTCTGTAACTGATTTCTGTGACAAGGGTCATGGATCCCTTCCAGGTAATTGGTTGTAGGCTTACAATAAGAGTCCTTAAATGGCAGTGTGTATCCCAGCTACAGCTGTCTTCTTCTTTCTCTAACTTTTGGCTCTGTACTGGTAAATACCCTAATATAAATTTAGAGACCATGGAAGCAAAGTGCGTGTTTGTGTAGAGCACTTAAATGAATGCTTTCTCTAACTTAACTTCCAAACTCAGCTGACAAGCTGGTGCCTGATGTGATTTCCTTGCCTCAAAGGAAGCAGAATAGTATGATTGGCCAAGTGATATTTTCTTTCATCTGTAAAACAACTAGAATATCAGCAGTATAGTGTGACTTGAATTTTGCTTCTTCCACCTAATATGCTAGAATTCATTCTTGTTTATGTCTGTGTGTCTGTCCCTGTAGGGTGCATGTAGGGCTCAGATTTTCTGTCACAGGCCATGTCCCGGGCTCTAGCCTGAGTGTGCAGTAAAATTCAGGACTAATGTAAGTATGCATTAAGAAGCTAGAAATAAAGAACATGTGACACACCTAGGTAGTATTTGGCAGAACAAGTCTAATCTACCTCTGTGAGAAGAGGATGATGTTGCAGGTCAAATGTTTTTGATAGAGGCGTAAGAGAGTAGACTATGAACACACACAATAGCAGAAATCTCTAGAAAACATACATTGGTAGGATAACTGTTTTGAGATGGGATGAACAAAAGCAGCAGTTTATTCTTGTCTTACACACATGGCACAACATACAGAACCAGCACAAATAACTTACAAAATCTCATACACCATGCTTCCTCTTGAATAACTTCTATTAAGTTACAACACCATAACGAATCAGGTATTTAGTTACAACAGATCTCCAGACATGGATAGTCTCCCATTCAAGGAGTTATTATTTTTTTAAGCTACTTAGACAAACATCATTTTTTTACATGTTTAATACAGTACAGTATCCTTAACAGAGTTCAAGATATTCACAATGAGAATTAAATACTTTAAAAAACAGCAGAATTACTCATCTCAGCACAGGTCTACATTTACTCCTGCCTTTTCTGGTTTACAAGTGTGTTACAAGTCATCTTTACTCAATTTTCCAAGGTAAACATTGTTTTAAACTAAAAAAAAATTAAAACCAAATAAATAATAAAAAATTATATTTACAGGGTTTTTAAGATTTAATAAAAATTTCTTTTATTCCCTTTCCCATTCCTAGCCCCCTACCCACAACAACAACTGCCATTTAACTGGTAGAAATATTAATCCTCAAGCTCTTATAGAAACTCACAAAAAAAATAAATTTTTGATGACTTGTTGGATGCAAAATGAAAGATGACCACAGCCCAGCATTAATTCAAAAAGATGGAATTGTTTTCTCCTAATGTCAGATTTTGTGTCCATTGGAGACAGATGATTCCTCTCATCTGATTTTAAGAAATGATGTATTACTTATGGGCCAATATGCAAAACCTCCATCGTTTTTTAATTACAAGCCCTCCCACTCTCTCTCGTGCAATCTCTTTCAGTATAGTTCTTTCCTTGCTAGAAATTGTAATAACTCTGGTTATGTGATACTGACTTAAACTATCCCAGTCTCCACTTGATCAGTGTATCCCCTTGTCCATGGTCCCAGTGACATTGCTGGATTGACTCAGAAGAATTTTGGTCTGTGATTGCACTTCAAACCCCACTGAAGTTTGTGGGCATCTTTCCTTTGACTCGGTGGCTTTGGATTAGCTCTGCTTGAATGTGGCTGGCAAATTCTAGCCCTTAAGCAGTTAATCAGCTTTCTAAAGAAATAATCAAAAAAAGATTCCTCTCCTTTATACATACAATACGCAATGTTTTTACATTTAGCATTATCATAAAAAGCATGTTTATGTTATTTTGAAAATGTATTTTTACAGAAATTTATAAACACTGTTGTATCAAACACATTCTCAAAAACTGGAGAAAATACCGACACAAAACCTGGAAGAGCCTCAATGGAATTCTTCCAGTACTATTTGTCTACTTGCATATTTCATATTTCAGTGTCCTTTCCTGCAAACATAATTTTGCCTTATGAGAACAGGTAAAGTAGACAACAAATCCCCAACAGTTTTGAATATGACCTAGATCTATTGTTTAATGAAAATAGTTTGACATTCGATGTATGTTTGGGTTTTTTAACCCGGCATGCCCATTCTGTTACCTTTACTCACATTGATCAATACGTTAATTCCCAAATAGTCTCATTCACTTCAATGGCATTACACATGACAAAATGACATATGCAAAAATACTGAAAACACTTTTCCACTTTTTTAATCCTTCTTATGTCAACAACTCACATCATCATCTGCTTCTTTATGTATATTGTAATTGAAAATGAAGTAGGACTAATATATTCCAACAATTCTGTATCAGAAATTAGTGTACAAACTTTAGGCAATAATCTGCTTGCAGTTGTGCTATTATTCTGACAACCTGAAAACATATCTGGTGTGACTAAGACTAAATTTCACTGGTCTAAAAGTTTTATTTTTATACTTGTTTGTGTTACTCTTGATATATCCCCAACCTGACACATTTTAAGTTTAAATAGACGTGTCACACTGACATGAAATCAAGATGTAATTTTCCCTTGCCGTTACCAATTTTCAGTGCAACCTGTAATGGATATTAATTCATATAATCTAAGTGAAATATATGTTCCAATTACTTTGTCTATATAATAATGGAGAAATGATAGTGTGAGCTTAGTTTCCTATCCTGCAAAAGGTTAAAAATCCATTTAAATTTTTATGTTGTAAGTAGTTTTGCTGACTGTAATGGTATTAATTGCAGCCCAGGAAGTCAAACAGCAGAATAAGATTTTTTTCTCTGTCTCACTATTTTGTTTATTCTTTAATGAAACTTGAAAAAAAATAAACAAACAAACCCACAACAAAATCCCCCTACCTTTCCTTAAGTACTGCTGAATGGCTAAAATATAATTGGTGAAAGGTCGTTGACTGTAATAGCCTGTATGTTATCTCATCTCAACAGATATGCTTTTCTATGGCTTGAAATGTTTAAAGCATTATTCTACCTAGAGGGAAAAAATGCAAGCCATATCTAACCCCAAATTTTCACTATACTGTAATGTGTACAGTCACCCGTAAAGGAGCCCTTTGAACAAAAAAATGTATGCTAACTTGTTCAATAATTTGAAGAATGTTTCTATTTTGGTCACTGTAACAAAACAAGATATACATACACATACTAAAAAACTCCAGTTGTAATAATTGTATAGTATTTCCACACATAAAACAAATAGTTGCACGTGATGTGACGTGTAAAGCAAACTGCTGAAAACTTCTTCAGTCTTTGGAATGAACAAATTATATGTGACCAATACTTACAAAAAGTGATTGAATTTTCATAAATGAAGGTTTTTGATGGAGGAATAGAAGATGTTCTCCCCCTACTCACCCTTACTCCCCATGGCTTTTATAGATTCATCCCCTTGCCCAATAAGCCACAGGTGAGTTTTTTATTTAGATCTAGAGAATACTTTAATGAGGTTAGAGGTTATCTGCTTCTGTATAACAGTACTAATAAGGTTTCTAGTGACCTTTTCATAAAACATAGTCTGCTCTTCTCGAGTTTATAGTGCTGCAGAAGTTACAGTTTATTTAAAATCCAGAATATGAATCTGATCTAATTATGTCAAAAATCTAATGAAATAGAAATTCCGTTATCTACTGTGAAAATTTAGTTACCTTCTCTTCTGATAATTCAATCCAGTTTTATTCCAACCCTTTCACCCCCTCAAAAAAAAAAATTGTCTTGTAGTTAAAATCCTGTCATTTTACATAGCAAAGAAAAAAGCCTGCTCCTTGCCTATGGAAATGTATATAGTTTTTGAAGTTCCAATGCCTCTCTGAGCTGCTAACCATCACATAACATATGCCATTTGGCAATTTGCCTCCTAGGATATTCACATATTTCTTTCCAGTGCTCTCCACCTGTTCCTTCTGCTGAAGATCCCAGGGTTAACTGGCCAATGACCTCATTCCTTGACCCACTATCTGAATCTAAAACCAAAAATTCTATGCTGATATCATCAAGACCCTCACAAGGAATGTCAAAGACAAACAATTCATTGAACACTGCATTGGGACTGCACTTCTTCACATGGGTTTTCTTTTTAGAAATTCTCTTCTTAGCATGGTACAGGTTCACTTTGACATAAGGGTCTGCAATGAAAAGAAAGACAAGCTGTTGAACACATATTGTTTAGAAATACCTTGATGAGGCTAATAGTAAATTCCATAACTTTTCAACATAATTACATCAAAATGATTAAGTTTCAAATTATTAAAGGAAATTATTAAATATAATCCAATTTTTTTTGTTTACATCTGAATTAACCCCTTTATTATCACCAAAGATATGATCAAGACAGCCAGTGAAATTCAGTCTGAGATCAATTACAGGTGTCTCCTTCATGAGATAAATCCTATCCTGCAGTCCATTAACCTTAAGAACATCTCTACTACATGCAAAGGTGGTCTGAAAGTGCACAAAATTATGATAAACTCTGAAAAACATTTGTGAGTAACAGATATCTGCTTTTCATATGCTTTACCACAGGATAATCATCAGCACTAATAAGACTTATGCAAAGAAAAGCCTTAGAAAGGAAAGAATAAACTTGTGCTGAAAGAAATTATTAATATATGTGATATTTCTGTTGTGGTTCTACCAAAGTCAATGAGCTTGATTAAATTACTGTCACTGATTGCTATTGAACATATTTGACACTAAACTTAAATAAAGATATCTTTTTTGTTAGGATATGCATTTGACTTGACATCTGTGCAGTACTGCTATTGAATAAGGGAAAGGAATATGTCTATATTTTTAGCTATCAAGCAACTTTGAGTGTTTGCATTCCTCAAAACTATTAATTTGTTGTGAGAGTCCCTTGTTATTGTCTTCAACAATGGCCATACTTCTTTCAGAGGAATTCTAGAGAACATTTTAAAAATCATCTCCTTCAAGTACCTTGGCATTTATTCAGTGCAAATGTGGACCTGATTCCAGGTTTGTATGACACAACAATGCATTACAAAATGTTTTCTACTGAACTCTGTCAAACAAGATAGTCAATTTAAACAAGCAGCCAATAAACATCAAGGCTAGTTGAAAAAGTAAAATTAAAACTGAACCATATTTAGAAATGATATGTCAGAGTTACCAGCCTGTTGTGGCTGGAAGTTTAAAAGGTACTTATTTCTTTGAACTGACAATATTTTATGAGGCATAGAAGATAATAGAATACCTTTTTCATACTTTCATACTCTATCACCATAATAAACATTTCAGAGAGTCTAATGCAATTAAAATGTTCATTGCCTTTGAAATTAGTATATGTCATACACACATAAAAATATCAACATAAATATCCATCAGTGGATTCACACTGGTGTTTGTTTCTTTTTAGAGGACATTTTCTGATTGTTACCTCTGATCAGCTACGAGATTAAGCTGGAGTGTTCCACCTGATTTATTAGGTCTATTAGATACCTCAGCACCAGTGATCAAGGGAACCAAGGAGGTTATGAAAATGAAACAGCTTCTGAGTAAAAACAAATTGCCTTCTTCCCAAACAGGTTGAATTAGGCAGTTGTTTAGTTTATCCCGTATAAACACCTTTTCACCCTCCTTCTTGTCCAAGATTAATGTTGGGATGAGGGGAAAGTCAAAGAGGAGATAATGACTGTCATGAGTGCAGTATATTACTGGCACCCAAATATCTATTAAACCTGGCCTTGTTGTTGAACAAAAAACAATGAAGAATGTTCTAAATGAAATAGTGTCCAGATCTGGCATGATTGCCTACAGAAATGATGTACTTTCATTATAGTTAGTAAGGCTGTACTGAGGGAAGAATAAGGAGCAAACAAAATTTATAGCTTTACTTATAGAAGGTGCAGTAAACAATTATGTAATTTGGATGTACTGTAGGGTCCAGGTGACTGTTGTGACTATGAGGGCTAATTTTATCAAGTTATTTTTCCACCAGGCTAAGCCTAAGCCAGGCTTGGTCTGTTGAGATCAGCTTGCTGTTGTACTGTCTTCATGAAACTTCCACTATCTCCTGTGACTTCGGAGTTGATTGTTAAAAGTATATGTGTTCTTTTATGGTGGAGTAAATGCTTGGGCTCCCATTTACATCCTTTCTCCTTATGATGTGTGAACAAAATTGAGATCAGAAGGAGGATTTTAATGGGATTTCCTGAGAGTTATCTGTGACTTTTTAAATTGGATCCAGGATGGGTTAACTTTGTAGATAAATTGTAGTATTTCTTGGTATGCAAAATGAAAAGACTGTATTACTGGTTGTAGTAGTTCTTATTAAGAGGTTCCCAGAGCTACTTCATCTTCTGGTTCTTTCAAAAAGATCCTATGAAATGAAAAGCTGTCAGTCTTATATAGAATCATCATCATCATCAGTGCTACTATTGTCCTTTGTTGTGTACTGTTGCTTTTGTGTGGTTGTTGCATCCTCACATATTGTACATCAAATTTCATACTCTAATAAAGTTATCTAGCCTTAATGTGCATCTAAGTGCAATTCTAGATTTGACTTCAAAGGAGTTCCACAATGAGAAATTGCATAAGACAAGAAGAAGCGAGGGAAAAGCCTGATCCTTCTTAGTGTACCGCAAGTTTGGCTCATGACAAAGCACGGGTGTTATGTTACAGCCTGCTTGCAGCACTGGCACAGTTCACCTTTTCACCTTGCCTAGTAATGCTAGTGCTCAAAAGACCAATTTCAAAGCAGATGTAACTGGTTGCTTTTCCTGGTGCAAAGCTGAGATAAATCATATGATGATCTCACTCAATACTGATTTTCTACAAATAAACTGGCATTTTTTTGTCATAAATAAAAGCTTTTAGTGTCTGAAAACAACATCTTAGGGCAGATGGATTCTGTTCAAGACAATCAGAGAACGCTTTGGTTTCCACTGCTAACAAATGTCACCTTATTTTGACATGATAGAAGAACATATTTGTAAAATATATACCCTAGAAAGAAAGCATTGACCTATATTTGAATAGAATTAATAGAGTGTAAATAATAGAAGCACCATTTCTGAATTTATGGAATATTTTCAGTCTTTGAAATGTCACATTTCAGCTGTATTCTGCCATTCTGTTTTCTATTTTTAAAGCATATTCATTATTAAAACCGTTACCTGATAAACCTGACACATCAGATTTAGGTAGATGTCTGGCTTTTAAAACAACCACAGTGAGTGTGTTTGTTGTAGACTGATAGCAGAGAGAGACCAGTAATTCTCCACGTCCAGATGATTTCTAAGGAAATTAATGAAAAAACAATTAAAATTGTTTGGAAGCAATTATGTTGACCAAGCTTTAAACCAGAATAAAGAACATTTATAAACTGTCACATAAGTGTTTGCTCTGAAACTGTGTGAAAGGATATAACTTATGGAGCTATACTGATTTACATTATGAATACAGTTTTATTTTGCTGTAGTTATATAACTCTTCTTATGATTGGTTATTAGATTGAACAGAAATAATTAATGCAGGAAATTATAGATTGGTATGGCATCATTATTTTCAGAGGGTAAAAATGAAATCCCACACCCTGAGAAAAAACCATGCCTCAATAAAACACTAAAACATGTAAAGTAAAACAAAATTCCATGAAGATATATTGGGGGTAAAAAGTCGAATAAAAATACATTAAACAGTATTCAGTAAAGTATTTTGAAAAGGAGGAGTTCAAACTATTTAAACTGTATCCCCTGACACTTTGTAAACAGTACGTCATGAAGTAAAGATGAGATCAAAAATTTTTTCTATGACTATTAGATTTGAATTTTCAGAAGTTCATCCCATGGGGAGAAGGAAGGCAAGGGAAACAGAAAGAATTAGTACTTTATCTACAAGAAATTCCAATAAGTTATCAACAAAAGATCAGTGACATAGTTATATTTGTTGCAATATAGTGATAGAATTGCAAAATAGCAGTATTAGTTACAGGTATGTTGTCTAATAGACATTTATTTGATTTGGCAATATGCTTGCTCTCCAAAAACAATCGACTTGAAAGTCAATACACATTCCACTGCCTTAGCAGAGATTAAGAGAAGGGTATGTGGTACATATGCATTTCCGTGGTTAAGCTGTGGTGGTTGTAAATGATCGTCACATTCTGCAATGAGACAACATGGTACAAAATATTTTTCTCACAGTGAAATCAGTACATTTTGCCATAGACTTCAGTAAGTCTTCAGCTTGTGCCTTACTGTCTTTAGTAAAGTTTCAGCCTGTGTCACAATTCATGAGAAAGAAAATAGCAACAGCACCAAAGTGCAAGAACACACTACTGCAGCAGCAGTATAGTCTCTGACAGGTTCTGTAACTCTAGACTGCTTACATTCTTAAATGTAGTTCAAATTAAAGATTTACATTGACTTCCATATATTTAAGAAAGAATTTTATCAAAGGCCAGGGAGGAGAAAGGGAATAATATATAAGTATTTATATTCTTTCATTTAAAAGCAATTAGAAGCAAATTAGTGTGGACTGAGGCCACTTGACTGAATATTAATGGGTTCACTCAAACCTGTTGGACTAGATGAGTGAGAGTTTACAACAGGCAATTTTTTGCAACATGCTCATTGTAATGTGTTTGGGGTTTGTTTTTTGGGTGCATTTGTGTAATGGCTTCCTCATACTGCTACTATGAAAGGATCTCAATAAATTGCATGGTGGAGATTTTTGCTTTTCTTTCCAAGACAGTAGCAGCATTACACAAGAACCATAGCTAACATTAGCACAACACTTTGAAAGTTTAAATTAAAATTATGTTACCCTAACATTTCTTTTGATGATCTCTCTGTCCATTATCAGCCTTCCTTCTGAAAGCTCAATTCCAGTGAGGGGAATGAGGACTTCTCCAATGACGTCATCTCTGGAAAATCTGTCAAAGCTCAAGACCATGAAGTGAAGTGTTAAGTCTTGAATTTGGCTATAGGGGATCCCATAAAATGTGAAAGTCTCATCAAAAGCTGGATCTAAGGTTTTTCTCAGCACTCTGGTTTTCACCTTGTGCTTTTTCTCTGGCAGGATTGTCATTTTGATGTAGGGATCAGAAGTCATTGACTGTTCATCCATTGCTGGCAGTCCACGAGCTTCTTTGATGTTCACTACAAATGCCTTTTTCTCAAAGTTGTACTCTAAGGAAAAAAAGAGAGCTCCTAGCTTGTCTTGTTTATCGTCAGATGACAGGGAAGTGATGGATTTTAAACTGTCAGGGGATACTGAATCTTTCTTCCTTTCTGCAAAGTGCTTAGGAGATGAATTTTCAAGATCTGGGGAGCTCTGCATTTTTGTGGTTGTTTTGGGGAAGTTGCCATTTAGATCTCTCTTCTCCAGGTCAAGATGGAGAGAATTTTTTGGCATCACTGGTTTGTTCTTTGATTCATTTTTGTCATCTGCTCCGAATTTCTTCTTGCTGTTGAGATTCTCAGGGTAAATATCAACCCCTTTCAGAACATGGACAAACTTATACGGAGGGGTCTTATTGGATTTGGAAGATTTCCGTTGGCAGCAGATCCAAGCAAAAAGGGAGACAGAGAAGACAAGGCCGAATGCACTAAAGATCCCAACTGCTGTAGGAATTTCATCTGCAAATCAAATAAATAGCAACAAGCACATAAGCAGCAATGCCTTGGATTCTGTGTGATATATAAAAAGGTAATAATTTAGTAAAACAAAGTGGTATAGGTTGGCAATAGCAGCAGGATTGACACACTCATAGTGCTTTACATTGTACATTTTGCTCGCCACCTGCAGGCATGAGTGTGCAGTCCTGCACTAACACATGCTTGTTATGCTAGTATTTTTCCATATACAGAGTGTTAGGGGGGAAAACACTATTTCCATCCTAATAATAATCACTGTTCATAATTTCTCGACTATCTCAACACTCTGTGTATAGTTTCTGAGTTTATATGTCTGTGAGTAATACCAGCTTTCAGAAGGTTTCAGCTTTGAGTTTATGGAATTTTTTTAGTTTGATAAAACATATTCTCAAATATGCATTACTTGTAGATACATCATCTGTTTTTCATACAGTTTTCTAGAATACTTTTTACACTCAATTAACTAATTTTTAATGGTCTGATCTCATAATTGCCTGGAGGTATCTCTTGAAAGTGAGTTTAATTGGAGGTTATAGCACTGAACAGTTTCAGTGGGATTTTCAATACTTTGCAGGAGGAAGCCTATTAAGAAAATTTAGAATAATTACATGCCAAGTATCTTTTCCAGAGGTATGTGACATTAGGTAGTCACAGGAGAGTTCAAAGCTGAAAAAAACCTGTTAAGTGTATCATGGATAGCCATTAATCTTTGCATTTAAGATGGTATGAATCAAAGCAGCGGGGAATTTATAGAAAGGGTCAGTACTTAGGAGCACCCAAGAAAAGTTTTAAAACATTATTCTCTTCTACTTTGATATGAATCTTGTGTTTTAACTGAATAAAGAGAAACCAGAACAAGTGTTACAACTTCCGTTGCTGTGTGGATACATTGCTTACATATAGAGTATCATTAGCCCTTCAAATGATGCATCAAAGTGTAAATGAGAACAACTAATTGGAAATCCAATTTTGCCCATAATTAGCATTACTGAGTTTAAACACCACACAATGAAACAATCCGAGCTTAATCTTTATTCCCTGCAACAACAGTGGATGTCCAGTAAAAAATTAATGAAATGATATTGTTTATGCATAAAGGCAATTATGTAACAGATCTGGTTCCCTCACAAATAATCATTCTGGATAAAAAAAAGCAGGACTATTCCCTTCTATGTATTATTAAAGCAGCTTCCTCCAGGTAAAAGGTGGGCAGATAAATGTGTTGCCACTATACCTTTGCTTTTTAGTGGGATAATTCAGAAAAAATCCACAACAATACTATCAGAGCAAAGTAGGACATAATGTTGCAGCACAGAAAGGATCAGGCCTGGCTATTAATTTCTTCTGACAACATTCATGTCACTTTCCTTATGCCTACAAGCTGTACCAGTCAGTATACTTAATTTTAAGAACCTAATGAAATGACTGAAAATCATATATAAAATTAAAAAGTATTTTTTCCTAAGTTAAGCATGTGTCCTTGAGTTTCAAGAATTCCCTGGGCTGCAGGGATTTATACATGGAATAAAAACAGTATAAAGCTGGAAGTAATTGAAACCTAATCAGAATACTTCAATGGCTTTTAAGAATGATTTGGACATACACAGTGCTTTCTCATGAGATGACAGACTTTTTATAGTAATGGGTATTATGTTCTACTTTAGTTCTACAAATACTGAAAGCAGTGGTAGAATCAATTAGATGCCTAAAATACGAATTCTCTTTCTTCAATAAGTAATTAGACAAGCTTGATGTCACAAGCGTGGTTAGAAACATGAAGTCAGTGGAATAGGAAAGAAGACAAAATGATAACTAAAATGGTTTTACATTTGCAAATAAATATGGTGCAACCTGAATTTCTTACTGTTATCATAATGTAAGTCCATTGGTTAACATTCAAGGCACTGTATTAATAGGAAACATCACCTATTGATTCTCGGAGAAGTTATGTGATATAAATCTGGAGTCTCTTCACTTAAGTCAGTGGAATGATCTTTGAATCAAACCACTGCTAAAGCAAATATAATCTAGGCTAAAAACAATATTTATAAAGCAGAGTTCAGAAATGTTTCTGCTTACTGCATTTCTGAGTAAAGCTATTTATGCACATATCTTATAAATGTGTGTATATGACTGTTTCTGAGAGTTCTGGTATCACATTATATCCAAAGCATAGAAATGACAAAACAGTAAAGTTTATTATCATCATTATGATTCTCAGTGAACCCAGACTGGTCAAGATGGAGCTGTTTAGCCAAAAAACACTGAAATACTGTGTTTCCATCTTTCTAGCAATGTCCTTTGCAAGACTGTCTTTCACTTTAACTAACAACTGACTTACAACAAGAAAAAAAGGAATGACAATTATTCCAAGAAAGGCTTGAACAAAGATCTTATCTGTGGCAGAGGATGCATTTGCATCATTTTAATTCTGGAGCCATGCAACTTTAACCAAGACACAGAAAACAACCGCAAATCTCTCTCATCCGAAAATGCACCTATACAAACCTCTTTATTTCCTCCAGTACCTTACCATAGGGGAATGGGCAGGGAGGAAGAGGAAGAAGGGAAAGAAGCAAATTCACACAACTTCTGAGATCAAAGAGAACTGGGGGTAAACCAGGTTCCTCCCAAACAAGCTGCGTG